TTAAAGACATGGGTAGAGAAGGAGCAAATTGCTTTGCGGAAACAAGAGCAGAGGAGAGAGAACGGAGGGTTGAGGAAAGAGTAGAAACAAAAAAAGCCAGACAATTTGAGCTGGAATCTCGAGAAAAAAATAGAAACAGAAAAAGCTAGACAACTCGAGCTCCAGCTTCAGATCGAACAGGCTAAGCAAGTTAAGGCAGAGAATAGAGTGATGCCCAAAATTATTTAAATAAAGGTAAGGCTCCCAAACTACCCCCCTTTAATCAGAAAAGGGACGGCATTGATGCATATCTCCATAGGTTTGAATTGTACGCTACTGCTCAAAACTGGGACAAGATCACTGAATGGGATACAAATTTAGGGGCTCTTTTGGAGGGAGAGGCATTATTCGAGTATTCTACTTTGTCGCTTGAAGATGCCTCTCACTATGACAAGGTTAAGAGAGCAGTGTTGGCTGCTTACCATCTTACAGGCGAAGGATTTCGACAGAAATTTAGAAATATTAGACCAATACAAAATGAAACTGGAACTAAATTTGTCACAAGGCTCGACAATTATTTACAAAGATGGTTAAAGATAGAACAGGTAAATGATTTTAAACAATTACAGGATATCATACTTCGGGAACAATTCGTACAGTGTTGCACTAAAGATCATGCTACTTTTTTGAAAGAGAGAAAGCCTACTAGCATCAAAGAGATGGCTAAATATGCCGATAGATATGTGGAAGCGCATGGGGGTTGGCATCCAGGGCATTTTAAAGGTACAAGTTTTAAGGCCAAATCTCACAGTCATCAGAAAGGTGTAGATAAGCCCAAGCCACCGCAGAGTGATAAGGCAACACCGTCAAAAAGCTATGTGAACCAGAACAAAGGTAACTATAACTGTTATATATGTAACAAACGAGGTCACTTTGCACGAGATTGTAGACAGAAGAAAACCTATGCTTTTCTAGCAGAGATGATGAACAAACACGAAGATAATCCCATTTCAGATAAGACAAAAGATGATATTGGTGGGTTTCTAATGATAAAACCTGACCCACACCTAGATCAAGCATTTCGAAAAGGTTTTCTCACCTTAGATTGTGGACACCAATTGCCTGTGTTATCAGCTGCTTGCAACAGCTCTTATGCACAGGCAATGCCAGTCCAGGAAGGTAAGATAGGCACTAGTGTTATCCAAGTATTGCGCGACAGTGGCTGTAGCGGTGTAGTGGTTAAATCTAAATATGTGGAGAAAAATCAAATGACTGGAGAGATTAAATCCTGTGTGTTAATTGATGGTACAGTAAAACAATTTCCAGTTGCTCGTATACATATAGATACACCATTTTTTGTAGGTTTTGTTTCAGCACTGTGTATGGATAACCCAGTGTATGATTTAATCCTTGGAAACATACCTGGCATGCGAGAACCTATGGATCCAGATGCAAACTGGGAGGGTTCCCAGAGACTAGAGCAGGTTCAAAAGGGCAAGTCAGAATGTGACTCTGAAACCGAAACCGAAACCGAAACCCAGACTGCAGCTGCCGTGCAGACGCGCAGCCAGAAGGAATGGGTTAAGAAACCATTGCAGGAACTTAAGGTAAGTTCTCAGATAGGTGAAGTGACTCCAGAGATGTTACGGAAAAAGCAACAGACAGATGTCTCGTTGGCCAAACTGCATCAATTGGCTAAAGCAGGAGAAGCAAAGGTAAGTAAAAATGGAAGTGCTTGTAGGTACATCACCGTAAAGGGAATATTGTACAGAGAGTACCAGTCCCCACAAATCGATTTTGGGAATACATTCCGACAGATTGTGGTACCCAACGATTATCGTAAATATGTATTGAAGGTAGCTCATGAGTCAATTTTAGGAGGTCATTTAGGGGCCAAGAAAACATCTAGTAAAATCTTGACAAATTTCTTCTGGCCAGGCATACAAGCAGATGTCAAGATATATTGTCAGTCCTGTGACATATGCCAATGTACCATTCCTAAAGGTAGAGTAACAAAAGTCCCCTTAGGTCATATTCCTATTATTGAAGAACCATTTAGGAGAGTCGCAGTGGATTTGGTCGGACCAATTGAACCTGCCACTGATAGGGGTCATAGATACATTTTGGTCTTGGTCGATTTTGCAACCCGTTACCCAGATGCTGAGGCATTGAAAACAATTGGGACTGAAGTAGTTGCGGAAGCATTGTTAGGTATGTATTCTCGGATAGGCATCCCAAGGGAAATACTGACTGACCAAGATCTCAATTTGTATCTGATGTCATGAAGGAGGTAAGTAGATTGCTTTCTATAAAACGACTTACTACAACTCCATACCATGCTACTGTATGTGTAATGGTTTAGTAGAGAAATTCAATGGAACCCTTAAAGCTATGCTCAAGAAAATGTGCGAAGAAAGACCGAAAGACTGGGACCGATATATTCATCCACTTTTATTTGCATATAGAGAAGTCCCTCAAGAAAGCACAGGGTTTGCCCCATTTGAACTTATATTTGGGCACATTGTTCGTGGTCCAATGATGATACTCGAAGAGTTATGGACTGGTGAAACACAGGCAAGTGAAACCAAGAGTGTATATCAGTATGTGTTGGACTTGAGAGAACGTTTGGAGCGAACCTGCCAGCTTGCTCGAGAGGCTTTGGCAAAATCTGCCTCGCGATATCGATCTTATTATAATAAGAAGGCAAAGGTAAGGAACTTTGAGGTCAGAGACGAGGTACTTTTGCTCCTGCCAACAAGTAATAATAAACTACTATTACAATGGTAAGGCCCATTTCCCATTACACAGAAAGTAAGTAGCCTAAACTACAAAATAGACTTGGGTCACACCCGCAAAATCTTTCACGCTAATTTGCTCAAGAAGTATCATCATCGATCAGAAGTTACTGCATCCTTAGTCGAGTATCGTGGTGATATTTATGACGTGGCTTGTGTATCTGTAGTTGAGGAAGAATGTCAGGAAGAAGTAGGTCCATCCGAATTGAAATCTTTTTCAAATGAGGACTTATTGCATCTTCCTCCCATAGTAAGCAAAGAGAGCATAAAAGATGTACACCTTAGTTTAAAGCTGAGTACGTCTA